GGGGGGGGGGGGGGGGGGGGGGGGGGGGGGGGGGGGGGGGGGGGGGGGGGGGGGGGGGGGGGGGGGGGGGGGGGGGGAGGTTTCGCCGCATAATTGGTACACATGTTTGATGGTTGATCTGAATTGCTCGTACCGAGCTTGGAATGCGCTACTCAATAGCCAGGACTGCCGCATTTTGTTTGCTGTTTGGGGGAGGAGAGCACAAAGAACACGACCATAGCGGCATGACCATGATCAACGCATGTCACCTGCTGCGCTATGGTACAGCAGTAATTCAACCGTGAAAAAGCACAAGTATGTATACACAAACTTTATTTCCATAGTAATTTCAAGTAAATTTCACCTTCTTATTCTCCGTCATACAAACAAACCGGCCGATGGAGCAGAAGGCCTAACATGTATGTGCCGGTTTTTGAGACCACGGGCTCCCCATTTTTTGTTGTGGACTAGTCTAAAGAGCAAATGCGAGAAACAACAAACACGTGGAAGCCACGACAGAAGTTCGCGCCTGTACAGATAGCATCCATCCGCAGTTCAGAAACGTCAAAAAAATCGGATCGAACCTCAATCCCTTATCTTTTTTGTGTCGAAGGACCACCAGCCTAAAAGGCCATTTGTTACGACGTTGTAACACGGGGCTATTTGGCCAGTTAGTCTAGTTGTCATTTTTTGAAAAAAAGACAGCCAAAAAAAAGCCTAAAAAAAAGACATCGTAACAAACGTCACAGTGGGACGTTTCTAACTGGACACGCTCCCCCAGCTACCACCCCTTGTTTCCAAGGTCTTGGGGGTATCGCACCATCATGTTTCATATTGATTGGGGCGTTGTTTGTTAGTGTTTCTCAGCCCTTTTTCCTTATTTTTCTTTAAATAAATGTTGAGCCTCAATTTCTTACTGAAGAACAAAATTTTTCTTAATTGCAGGCGCTATCTGCAAGACTAGTCTATCATGCAGCGAGCACATACATACATACATACACACAATCCGGAGAATAGCAAAGACTCCCCCATGATGCTGTCGAGGAAAACTGTTACAACGTAGTCAGGCACAGTTTACCATAGGTGCGACTGCGGCAACTAGCCTTCCGTAGTCATGATACAGAAAGAAGAGATGTACTTGGCAGAGAACTTGAGCACAGAGTTGTAGCGGAGATAATTTGGCAGGCGAGAGAGACTGGATGTAGTCGCTTTATTAATCCGAACCCCGAAATTCCGTTACTCGGGCCCATACCCCGAAGACCCTCGGAACCTGCTGTGTTTGCTGCTTGTTTTTTGTTTGGTTGTTGAGCTGAGACACAAGCGCGCCTTCGCCCCTTGTGCTCACTCTCATCTAGCACCCATCAAAGCCTGTCCAGGGAGTCAGTTGATAAGAAGAACATCTATTTTATCTACATTTCTCTTTCCGAAGCTCGCTCGGGCCTACCTCTCTCACAGCAGTGTAACCTCTGTGATAGACTACAAAGTCTACGAGCTACAGCAGCACCGCGGCGACAGCAGTGTAACCTCTGTGGTAGACTACAAAGTCAACGAGCTACAGCACCACCGCCACCTCCGCTGCTGCAGAACGCCACATTTTGTGAGATGCCCCCTCACGAGGTCCCAGATCGTGACCTTTACAAGCATTATTTCAACCGCACTGAGACTGTCGTGTTTTGAATATCAGCCGGTTAGCGCGGCGACTCTAACAACCGAGACACACCACATACACATGAGTGAGTGTGCCTCCCCGAATAGCGGGATACGAGCCAACCAAGATTCCACATATCTCCACTGTGGTGATTTGCCAGTGCTGCGATTAAATAGCAGCAGTGTGGGTACTTGGTGTGGGGTAGCTCACGTCCACGCAGGATGCATCGCTCACACCTCGCCACGAAAAAATTACCGGTGGTACTATTACTTTAGTCTACGGTACATCAGAAGTGCTCGGTTGAACTTGGCGCTTCCACGCCACACACCGACATGATAAACTGGTCCTGATTCCAGTGGTAGACCCATACCAATTCCGTCACGGAGCTTTGACTCCAAACGAGTTGAGGCTACCAAATGACGGGCGTTTCCTTTCGAAGCAACTCTTTTATTTGAGCTTGTTGATAGTTGAAAACCACAACGGAAGCGACGTATCGCCACACCACCGCTATCACCATGCACCCCTTACCACCCGCAGCAAGAATCACAGCAATTTTACCATAAATAAATCACGTGTCGATTGATTCCTCGATGGAAAGCGCTTCACCGTATTAATCGGAAGTTTCAGTGCGTTCCAACTGAACGAACACAACGAAGGAAGGCAATACCGGCAACACGCACACGAAAAAGATAGACCTCGAAGCGCGGGACCGCAAACCCCAAAACTTTATGTGGAGAAAGACCCGCGCGGAGCGGTTCGAGACTTCGGGATAGGGTAGGCTGACACAAAAGAGGAGAAGCAACTAGGAGGATATTGGGGGGGGAGGGGGGTGTACTCATAGTCATGCCGTAGTAGTTAGTCCGTTGACCTCGCATCCCTACACAGACGCGACGGAGTACACCGGGTCCTCACCGGACCGGGCTCTCACATCACCGAGCGCGAAGCGCCGTGAGGTTTTCGGCGCGTCGCATGAAGGGTGCGCTGCATCCTGCCAAGGGTGTTCGGCATCTTGTACTTACTACTTTGACAGCTGCGTCTGACATCATTCATTTTCTGGTGCTGTCACTTCCAGAGACAGTTACAAGCACTGTGTACCTGCCTCGAGGATGCTTGACTCTTTTGATACAACGTGGTGCGATCATCCCTTTTGCGCTGAGGGAGGGTTCTCGACCCCGCACAACATGATCTACTCGACCACCGTTCATGGCTACTGCAAAAACAGAACAAAACAGAGGGAAAAAAAAACGGTAACCTGGTTGCCGAGCTCACGAAGTGAATTGGCTTGTTTTACAACGTCGTTGCCAAACGACGGAAACCCAACCCCGACGGCAAACAATGAGGGGGGGGGAGGATGTTGGGGGGGGGGGGTG